CTCTCACTTCTACCAGACGTGGGCCAGGATTAAGTTAAACATTATAGTGTATGTAAATTATACATTATAGTGTATAATATAAATACACAATTTTTTTATATATGAAGAGATCTTGAATGTGTTCATGAAAAGCAAGTATTATGAAGAAACTATGTATGGGTTTCAAAAATTTTTTGCACCAAAATCAGCTCATGCTTTCATTCCATTTTTCCACGAGCCTTTTGAAGGCCCCTCTACAGGAAACAAGGCCAGCCATGACTGTGCTGCCACCTGGTGGAACATCCTGTAAGTGCAGAGGGATAAAGGGCCAAGGGGATTGGGCTCGCAATAACTACGTAAGTGCCCCCAGCATGGTAAACCGCATTACACAAAGATTCTGAGCTAATTGTTACCAAAATCTCACATTCTAGTGCAAGAACAGGCATAGAGAAAATGGAGACTAAAGGGGTACTCCAACTCTTCCATGAATAACACGTTCTCCCAGTAACTGGTCCAGAGCTTACAAGGTAATAAATCAGTGCTGAAAGAGTTCACCCCTTCCATGAAAGGGGATTGATTTTTTCATTTTAAACTCATTCTGACTAACAGAGACCAGAATGTGGGATTGGGAGAGTGAAAATAAGTAATATGTTGATTACTTAGCTCCAGTCCCCGAGGACTCTGAAACCAACTGAGGAGTTAATATAGGGGCAGTCACCTTTTCAGGCCACTCCATCCAAAACAGCCTAGTAATAAGTCCCAATAGTATCTTGGAGTTCTGAATGGGACAACATAACTCTTTAAAAGTCACAGTGCCAAAATGATAAGAAAGAGCTAATGTTACTCTGGCTGAGGTAACTTTACTCTGAGGGCTACTTACTCTGCGCTAGGCCCCGTCCTACACACATTCACAAAGTTATGGGCTAATTAACAGTCATGGGTCCCGTGCTATAGATGACAACACTCAAGACCCTGAGGAATGAAGGAAGTTGCCCACAGTCATAGGGTCTGGGCCCAGGCATTCTGGCTCTAGGACCTGAACCTTCCCAGAACCAGTCCCTTTTCAACCACAGCCTTTCTGACAGTCCTGCAGTGACACCCCAGTGGTCACCATAGGACACTAACCTTCATTTGGTGTTCCTCTGCCAGCCTGAGTGCCCTTTCCCTTTTTCAACTGGAAAATCCCTACCTATTCAGTGTGGCTCATATCAAATCTAGTCGTCAGCTCCTCCATTCCATTCTGAGTTCTGTACAAAGTATCTTCTATGTCTCCACAGCTTTAAGACTAGCAAAATGTTCGACATTTAGCACATACTTAAACATTGAACAAGTCTTGCTGAGGTGATTCCAGATCATGAGGAACACAGTTGCGTGCCACCTCACAGACAATGCTACAGTGAAGGCTGTGTGGACCATTATGTGTGTAACATTGACTGTCTGTGAGGTGGCATGCAACTGTGTTCCTCATGATCTAGAATCACCTCACTGAGACTCCCAGCTGCATGATCAGAATGTAAGAAATATGAAGGACACAGTGCAGCAATCACTGAGCAGAGTTTAACGCCACGTGGCTACATACTACCTGCAAGCCTACGAGTAGGGACCACATGCTGTGCTTTACCCAGTGTGGAGGAAGGACGTGAACAGGGATTCCTAGCAAACTGTTCGATGGAAAAACAGCAGGTCTTTTTGTCATTTGTATAAATACACCTATCTATGAGCACAGGAAAAATGTCTGAAAAAGCAGAGTGGTTCCCTCAGGCAAATAGGAACATATATGACATCTAGGGTTTTATTTTTTCTCTGTACCTTCTACTACTTCTTCCATCTAATTACTTTCATTTAAAAAAAAGGTGTTTATTTGGTTCTGTTTTTTAGTTTTGCTATAGGGCACGTGTGCTGACAGAGGAGAAAAGGAGAGAAAGTGAGAGACAGAAAGAAAGTGAGAAATCACACTCCAAGAGGGATGGCCACGCTGCAATCCTTCTCCTCCACTCTTCTCTCAGGATTTGGGGCATGCTTGCAGAGATGCCCCCTTCTCCTCCACTCTTCTCTCAGGATTTGGGACATGCTTGCAGAGACACCCTGCATGATTCTCAAGCTGCCAGGTCCAGGACTCAGACCACGTAGTCAGCCATGTGGGAAACCAGTTGCCTTAACCTCCATGCCACCTGTTGGCCCTGTTTGTTTTTTTAATAACTAAAAAAAATATTATCTCTTCAATTGTGTGCTGATTTGCCCTGAGACAAAATGATAATGTTTTGTATTAGAGATAAAATGGGGTTGAAGATTCAAACTCTTGTGTACACCCAATTATTTCCAAGAACGGGTCCTCTGAGGTAAAGTTTGGCTCCTGGTCTAAAGTGGAAGAGGGGCCCCTGCTGGATGGAAATCTCCCCCAAGTCCTACACCCACCCTCGGCTACAGGGTCCGATCTGCCAATCAGGAGACAAGACCTTATGGAGATGCCTCAGTCTCATCCCTAGACCAGGTGAATCTTCATTTCTAAATTAATACGGAAATATCTCTTTTGTGAATAAGAAGCCTTCTAGAATCCGAGTAGTGTGAGTCAGTGTCCCGAAGTCCTCAGGGAGCTTCTGAATCTGAACCTTCAGGGACTAGTTAGTAACTTTAGTTCAGCACCAGTTCTTGGGGCGGAGCCAGGGTCTCTGAAGAGATCCACCATGTAGTCCTCACCACTGGAGGGCTCAAAGGAAATAGTCCAGAGACACAGGGAAAACACTGTCATTTCTCACTGACTCAGACACCACTGAAGGACATATCGCTGGCTCTCAGAGTTTAGGACAGGTTAAACTGTCAAAACAAGGGTCAGGCGACGGTGAAGTATGTAGGTGACCATGACCCGGGCTGGCTGGCACTGGACTGCAATGTGAAGACCCTAATGGGGGCACCTGTCTCTCCCCCTCTCTCTCTTTCTTTCTCTGTCTCTCTCATGGAAAAAATAGAAGAATAAACTTAGATATGGAAAAAAAAGAAAAAAAAGCACATGTCAGAATTGACAAAATATGGAAACTGCATGCTGGTATGGTAAGTAAAACGTCAGAGAAACCCTCCCACCAATAGTGCAGAGGTCAGCCAAAAGTGCTGAGAGGCCTCAACCTGCAGCCTTTGCCCAGGGACAGCCTGCACAGAACTGACAGTCACCTAAGCGCAGGGCTGCTCCCTGCAAGCCACATCTGGTGATGGAAAGCTCTGGGGCGCAAGCTCTCATTCCTCAGCCCCCAGCTAGGAGACCTCGGGAAGAGAGGAGGACCTGAATTAGGGAGGCAGTGGGGGTGGGGAAGAGGAGGCAGACCTGGGGCGCAAGCTCTCATTCCTCAGCCCCCACCTAGGAGACCTGGAAGAAGAGAGGAGGACCTGAACTAGGGAGGCAGTGGGGGTGGAGAGGAGGAGGCAGATTGGGGAATAGACTGAATGTGGAGACCAGGAAGTCTGAGGAATCCTGAGGCTTCTGACAAGGCAGATGATGGTCAGGACTGGGATTACCAAGTAAGAAGCAGGTTTGGGGGAAAGGACCAGCTCTACTCCGATTCCGTTGTATTTCACATACTCTGGGAGGGCATGAAGCTCTGCTGGGGACTCGAGCTCAGGAGATAGTCTGGGCTGGAGATGGGGACTTAGAAGCTGTCAGTGAACAGAAGATGGCTGGTGCCATGGGTGTGGATGACACTGTCCAGAAAGTGTGTAGACAGCTCTAGGAATCTCAGAAGAGGCAGTCAAGGGAACAAGAAGAGGAGGACAGGGGGCTGAGACTCAGGAAGAGAACCAGGCAGAGAGGAGACTGTGTAGGTGAATGGGGTTCACAGATGCCAGAAAAGGGAGCAGGATGAAGAATGGTGTGAAATCCAACAAAGAGCTGTACGGATGCAGCCATTGGTGAATGCAACCAGGGCCAGGATAATGAAGGGGGCAGAGTAGGAGCAGCTGTAGGTGAGAGGGACATGAGGTTATGGACTATCCCAACCCTATCTAAGGCCTATGGCTGGGAAAGGAAAGGACAAGATGAGGCAGAGCTGAAAGGAGATGCGTAGGCAAAGGCGCATGTTGATTTTCCTGTGCGAAGTGTCCCTTTGTAAACATGGCCTGCCAAGGTTGGGTATTTGTGAGTCCTTCCCTCAGAGACCATTCCATCCTAAGTGGACTGATAACACTGAGCATGTTTAAGGGCTAAGAGAAATGAACCTGCAAAGAGGGAGAGGTTCCTGATGCAGAAAGACGATGGACAACTGATGGAGCTGCCTCTGAGGAGCAGAGGATGACAGAGAAAGCTCAGGTGTGGCCAGGACTTCATCTCTCCCTCTGCACACCTAGAAGAATGGCGGCCACCCAGCTAGCCTCTCTATAGTTAAGGTCCATAAAACTGATATAAACCAAATGGGCAGATATCAGAGAAAAGGAATTCCTAAAAGAACAACCCAATTAAAACTACCACTAATAACATGAATAATTGTAGCTGACATACAGAACCTCTAGACATGCCAGAAACCACTTGAAGCCCTTAACACATCACTGTTGTGTCCTCCCAACAACTCTATGAGTTGGGGTTTGTTACTATTGCCTTTCATGGGTGGAGACAGAGAAGGTGAGGAAACTTGTTCTGACTGGCATGAGACAGAGCTGAAACTGGAAAGCAAAGCGAATTTCCCCAGGGTGTGCTAACGCTCCAGCACCCTGTGTGAAGCTCTGCCACGTGTTTCTGTGTGGTGCTGGGGTTAGCTGGGGTAGCGTGCTCTCCCTCAGGCCCACAGCAATTTTCTCTCTGTCCCCTTTGGGTCTGGTGCAGCCCTGGCCTGGAGTTGGGTTCCATTCACGTCAATAAACATTCCCCCGTCGTCCTGGTGAACTGAAGAGAGGTTAACCATGCTCCCTGAATGAGCAACTACTGTAGGGCCATCTTGACTGGTGGCAGGAAAAGGTAGACACGGTTTTCAACCATAAAAAGAAAAGTGTTTCTTTGAAATTTAAAGCAAGGGAAATAAAACTATCGTTTTGTATGATCATTTACCTCCTTCCGAAAACACTTCTGGTACCCACAGATGATAACTTCAGCTACATTATGCAAAGTAAGAAACACAGGAATGGCCTGAAAGAAAACAGAACGATAAGAGTAACTATATTTTCTTTGATCTCATAATTACACGACTCTTGAATTTTCCTTAAAAATAAAGACAGTGAGACCCAGCCAAATGCTAGTTAGCACTGCTACTGGCAGGCTGAGGCCACATGGTAGGCTCAGATTTCATTCCTGGTCCACACTGAAAGAAGCCAGGTGCCGTGGTGCACACCCGTAGTCCCAGCTGCTTGAGAAGCTGAGGCAGGAAGGATTACAATATAATGAGACTCTGAGAAAGAAAGAAAAGAATGACTGACTGAGGAGTCTTTTAGCATTTACATACTACTCTGGTTTGAATGTGTCCCCAAAGTTCAGGTGTTGGGAACCCAATCCCTAATGCAAGTGTTGGGAGGTATGATCTTTAAGAGATGATGGGCCAGCAGGTGGCATGGTGGTTAAGGTGCTGGACTTCTACATGGCCAACCGCCATCTGAGTCCCAGACCTGATGGCTTGAGTTCTCACTTTCTCTGTCTCTCTATAGTCAAATTCAAAATAAATAAATAAACAAATAAAATAAAATAAATAATTCTAAAAAAAAGAAAATGAGGTGAAAAGGCCACAAGAATTCTCCCATCATGGATGATTACTGTCTTTACTGCTGGAGTGGGTTTGTCATCTCAAGAGTAGATTTGGGGGCAGCCCCATAGTATGGAAATTAAGCACTGTGCAGGGAAAGCCAGATCCCACATGGCCAACCAGAGTTCAAGTCCTGGCCCTGGCAGCTTACACTCCAGGCATACACACATACCCAGGATCCAGATGAGACGGAAAATTGGAGGAAAAAGGATTATGTCATTACCAGGCTCCATTAGGGGATGCTTTGTCTCTCCCCACCCCTCTTCCCCTCCTCCCCTCCCCCTTCCCTCTCTCCCTCTCTCTCATGCATGTGTCCTCTGTCATTTTTTTTTTAAATGGATTTGTTACAAAAGTGAGTTTGGCTTCTCTTTCTCTCACACACTCTCCTGCCCATGCAATAGCTTCCACTATGTCATGATGAAGCAAGAAGGCCCTCTCCAGATGCAAGTCCTCCATCTTGGACTTCCCAGACTACGGAACTGCAAGAAATAAATCTCTATTCAGTATAAATTACCCAGCCAGTGACATTCTGCTACGGCAACACAAAATGGATTACAACACACTTATAATCTCTCCAGTAAAAACTCTTACATGGATTACACTCTGTTGTGGCATTATTCTCAGTCGGAGTGATGGGGAGGTTCCCTTGCTGTAGCTATCAGCATCAGCAAACCTCAGTTAAGTCTCCTGTGTGTCTGGCATAGGAGGCACATTCCGTGGACCAGATGGACACACAATAGGAAGCCTGTCCCACCAGTGAGACAGAGCAGACAAAAAGGTGTCCCTAACCCAGGGCAGGGAAAGCAAGTGTCCTTGGAGAAAGTGAAGTTCAAAGTAAAAATGAGAACAAAGTGATGTCCTAGCATGAGCCAAACAAAGAGAAGAGGAGGAAAGTGCTGCAGACATAGGACCTGGGGGCAGTTGAGCTCAAGTGGAACATAATGAGGAAGGGGAAGATGGAGGGAGAAGAAAGTGGGGAGATAATCATGGGCCACACCAGGAATGGGTCAGTCCTGAGGCTACAAGAACCAGTGATTAGTTTTAAAGCAGACCTTGACATGACCTACACTTGTAGAGGAACTTGGGCTAGAGGGTATAGAATGGGAGGCAGAAATGACTGCAAATGTCCAGGGGTGTTGCAGGCAGATAAATGGCCCTTCCAAAAGACATTCGCATCCCAATCCCTGGAACCTGTGAAGGTTACCATATATGGAAACAAGGGATCTTGGCAAGTGTGAGTAAACCGATGGAGACATTATCCTGGATTATTTGTGGACCCTAAATCCAGTTACATGTACCTTTTTAAGAAGAAGGCAGAGATGTTATGTGCACAGAGAAAAATCTGAGGCTGGAGTGTTGTGGCAAAACAGCAGCCACTAGAAGCTGGAAGAGGTAAGGGACCGATTCTGCCCTGAAGACTAGGAGGGGGCACCTGTCAACACCTTAATTTCAGCCCTGTGATTCAGGGTCTTCAAAAAAGTTCATGAAAAGTACATACTAAAAATCTATGCATGGATTTCTTTCTTTCACCAAATAAATGTGTACTTTAATCTTATTAAATTTTTGAAAGTTCCTTACATTGACTCCAGATTTCTGGCCTTCAGAACTGTGAGGAAATAGGTTTCTGCCATGTTTTTGTTTGTTTGTTTGTTTTTGGGTTTTTTTTTTAGAGAGAGAGATTTTTGCTTAGAGTATGTTTGCTCGCCAGAGAGACAGAGAGACAGAAGACAGGAAATCACTCCCTGCCTCCCCAAGGGGGATGGCCATGCTGCAATTCCTTCTCTTCCATTCTCTTCTTGGGATTTTGGGCATGCATGCAAATGCACCCAGCATGAGTTTTAAGCCACTGGGTCTGGAACTCAAACCATAGTAATTACATGGAAATCCAGCAACAAAACCATTATGCCATCTGATGGTCTCGGCTTCTGCTGTTTTGTGTGTGTGTGTGTTTTTTCTTGTTAAAGAATTATTTTATTTATTTACTTTAATTTGACTGGAGAGGGACAGAGAGAGATTAAAAGTGAGAAAGCAAGCCACTGAACCATGGTCGGCCATGTTGGAGTCCAGCACCTTTAACCACCACGTCACCCTGCTGGCCCCAGTTTCTGCTGTTTTAAACCACTCAGGTACATGGTAATTTGTTACAACAGCCACAGCAAACTAATATAAGGAGTGACAGACGGTGGCAGTGAAGACAGAAAAAAGTGGCCACATAAAGGAAATATTTAGGAGACTGAACTGTAGTAAACATTTGGATAACTGGGATCAAGATTACACATATATACAAACACATAAACACATACACACACACACACAAAAACAAAAACAAAAACAATGAGAGAAGATACAAAAAAACTGTAATGGGGCTGGCCATGTAGACTAGCTAGTGGTTAAAGAATCTGGGTCCCACATGAATGACCATGGTTTGAGTCCCACTACAGTGGCTTGAAAAACTTACCAGGTGCATCAGTGTGCATCCCCAAAGATAAAAAGAGAGTAATCAGAGTGGAAGAGATTGCAGCATGACCACACCTCATGGGGGTCATCGTTTTACTCTCTCTCTACCTTTCTCTCTCTCTGGCAGGTACATGCATCCTCTGGAAATTAAAAATAATAATAATAATAACACCTCTGCAGGTTATTAGGATACACAGGTATCCACTGCACATTTCCCACTGCTGGGCTGTTTGCTAAGAATAGCTGTCTCTCTTTGATAGGTCATCTTGACAGGGTGAGAGGGAAGGCTTAAGGGGCAAACATCAAACAGTTCCTTTACTGTCTTTATTAATGGTGATAATGATGTTTACTGGAAGGCAGAAAAAGATAAAGAATAAGAGTACAGGTTCTGTCAGGAAGCTCCAGCTCCACCATCGGGTAGTGGAGCAAGGGACTGATGAGAATTTTCATTCCCTCCCTGGTAGTACAGGGTAACAGAATCTACAACCTGGAGCTGCTGGGAGGAAGGGCTGGAATCCTGTAGGAAATAAGGAGCAGGCCAGCCATGGTGTGGTGAGTAAGGTGGGCTGGATCCCCATGGCTGACTGCCCTGGTTAAGTCCTGGACCCATTGAGAAACACACTGGGCAAGTGTGCGTGCTTGCGTGCCCAAACTCCCAGGAGGAAAAGATGGAGAAGGGCGGAAGTGGGAAGAGCTGCTTTCATGTTCCTCCGCTCTCTGTGTCTCTCTCCAGCAAGTACTTAAGTGTACTAGCAAATTGAAAAGGTGGGAGAAGGGCAGCCAGTGGCATGGAGCTTAAAACAGTTGGACTCCACATGGTTCGAGTCCAGACATGGTGGCTTGAAAAATGCCAGGCCACATGTGTGTGTGCCCAAAATCCTGAAAAGGAGGAGGAATGGAGAAGAGATTGGGACATGACTATTCCCTATGAGGGATGCTTTTTCCTCTCTCTGGCAACTGGAGATTACCCTCTAACAGATGTTTTTGTTTGTTTGTTTGTTTTTGGGTTTTTTTTTTAGAGAGAGAGATTTTTGCTTAGAGTATGTTTGCTCGCCAGAGAGACAGAGAGACAGAAGACAGGAAATCACTCCCTGCCTCCCCAAGGGGGATGGCCATGCTGCAATTCCTTCTCTTCCATTCTCTTCTTGGGATTTTGGGCATGCATGCAAATGCACCCAGCATGAGTTTTAAGCCACTGGGTCTGGAACTCAAACCATAGTAATTACATGGAAATCCAGCAACAAAACCATTATGCCATCTGATGGTCTCGGCTTCTGCTGTTTTGTGTGTGTGTGTGTTTTTTCTTGTTAAAGAATTATTTTATTTATTTACTTTAATTTGACTGGAGAGGGACAGAGAGAGAGTAAAAGTGAGAAAGCAAGCCACTGAACCATGGTCGGCCATGTTGGAGTCCAGCACCTTTAACCACCACGTCACCCTGCTGGCCCCAGTTTCTGCTGTTTTAAACCACTCAGGTACATGGTAATTTGTTACAACAGCCACAGCAAACTAATATAAGGAGTGACAGACGGTGGCAGTGAAGACAGAAAAAAGTGGCCACATAAAGGAAATATTTAGGAGACTGAACTGTAGTAAACATTTGGATAACTGGGATCAAGATTACACATATATACAAACACATAAACACATACACACACACACACAAAAACAAAAACAAAAACAATGAGAGAAGATACAAAAAAACTGTAATGGGGCTGGCCATGTAGACTAGCTAGTGGTTAAAGAATCTGGGTCCCACATGAATGACCATGGTTTGAGTCCCACTACAGTGGCTTGAAAAACTTACCAGGTGCATCAGTGTGCATCCCCAAAGATAAAAAGAGAGTAATCAGAGTGGAAGAGATTGCAGCATGACCACACCTCATGGGGGTCATCGTTTTACTCTCTCTCTACCTTTCTCTCTCTCTGGCAGGTA